GAGTGCTATGGGCTTATATATATATATATATATATATATATATATTATTCAAAAATCAAATGGTTCGTATATTACTAATTTATATATAACTTACCAAATTAAAGTAACAATATATTGATATCAAAAACTGCATATTTACATAATAATGTTATCATGCTCATAATTTGTACAAATAAATATCAAGAAGTAACTTTTGCCCTTTCTTATAAAAAACGTCCATTATCCTTTTCTTTTAAATTTTAAAAGGAAGGAGAATAACAATATTTATTCAATAATTACCATTCCCAAATCTTGATTTTTTTCTTTCTTTAGTTGTCAAAGTTTTAACAGGTTTTAAGTTGAAATTATAATCCAAATGCAAGTAATTGAGATTTTTACGATGTATTAAAAGATTTAACATATTGTAACCTTGTCTACAAACTTGCAATCCAGCTTCAACCCAGTCCAGAGTTGTTGTTTGGAAAAATTTAGTAAATTTGAATGATCGGAATAAATATCTATTAGAGATATTAATAAATGTAATTTTATATTTATTAAACTTTATACCTAAATAAATACCTTTTCTTTTGAGGTTTAGGTGGCCTATGTTTCAAAGCATTCAACACAAAGTATTTCAATAATTTTTGATAGCTTACACGGACTTTAACTGGTTGACCTGGTGGACAATGTTCTCTATACCAACTTTTAACCAAGGGCACATCAATTGCTCTTCTACAACGTCCTAATATATATATATATATATACATAGTAAATAAAATTTAGGACCCTTTATATAATTACATTAAAATACAGAAAAAAATTTACCTGATCTCATATTAAAAGGTCTTGGGGCCCATAATAAAGCGATCCCATTGGCTGTGTTATCTGTATACACAGGTACTTCTTGTAAGAATGGTTGAACTTCAGGTGGCAATTCGAATTCTTCATCTTCATCAAACACTGGTTCATTAACCTACAAAAAACATAACCAATTTTTTAAATTAAATTTACTTAATATATCTAACCAAAATCAAAATTAGTTAATATTTATAAACAAAATATTAGGTACTTAATTATCTAAGAATGATATTGTAAATGATATTATGTAAAATTTAAGATAATAAACCAACTATCCTTATGAAAGTGATTTTAATCACTGTCAGATATCATCTATACTTGTCCCAACAATCTATACTTGATCCCACCCCACTGTGCTACCATTTTTTTTTATCTTAAAATGTATTTTATTAAAAAAAAAAACAATCCTATTTACTTTAAATAGTCACATACATTATTTTTATAAAATGTAGACCTAATTATAAGTATTACACAAAATAATTTTAAACCATCTATAAATAAATGAATAAATGTAATTATAACCTAAGTAAAATGGCTAAAACTTTTCATCATTTAAAATTATTTATTTAAAAGAATAATAATTTTAAATTTAAAAGTTTGAGCTACTTGTTTGACAAACTTTATCTTTATTATAAGTTTGCAAGTTTGAATTTAAAAAAGTTTATTGGCCTATCTCTAATAATTAAAAAAGCAATTCCAAATCTGAATAAATTTAGAAGAATAAAAATAAAAATACCTTCACAGAATGCCTATGAGATATAGGGTTGATTAAAGGATCAAAGTAAAATGCTGGTAAATCTGGATCTTCTGTCTTGATATACACAACATTTGGTGCATGATACCTGAAAAATAAATAATACATCATTTATTTATAATAACCACATATATAAACTAAAATTTTTTATTAATGAAAAATAAACATAAAATATTAAATTTTTTTAGCAATCCTCCTATATAATAGAAATTGATCACTTGTGGCTAATTAATTAAGTAAAATTAAAACTATATTAAAAATATTATTAATTAAAAACTAAAAAATATTAAACTCAAAAGCCACAAAAAATTACTGAAAAGTCGCAGATACATATTTCGGAAACAATGTTACAACTTACAGCACTAAACACATATTATATATAATACATAGTATGTGTTTAGCGTTGATAATGATAACATTGTTTCCGAAATACGTATCCGCCACTTTTCAGTAATTTTTTGTGACTTTTGAGTTTAATATTTTTTAGTTTTTAAATTAATAATATTTTTAATATAGTTTTAATTTTACTTAATCCCCACTATAGATTTAATCTAAGGAAAATCTATATTTTGGTAACTTTAAATAAATATTGTTAACCATTAAATGAAAACAATGATATATAATATATGTATAAATAAATTACAATTTTAAAATTGTACTGATAAGTAATTTATTTCATAAAATTTTACTTAAAATTGATAATACTTTTTTAACATTATACTTTAATTAATTAAAACAACAAATTGTATTCAGATTAATATTTTCCAAATAAAATTTATAATAATAGATCACAGACCACATTATTAATAAATTTTAAAAGTCTGTATTCATTTTTAAAGAATCAGACCCCTGTGCAATCATCATAATAAATTTTTTTTAAAAATCTCAGTCACGCGTGTAATCCTATTATTGTTAAAAATGATCATCACAGATGAAAATTTACAAGCCAAAAATAGTTGGGCATCATTCTGCATCCAATATCAGAGCCCCTACGCATTTCATCACAGAATTATCTTAATAAATACAGTATTCTTATTTATACTTTTTCAAGTCAATGTTAATCTTTAAATAGAATTCGTAATTATTTGTTCATAACTATCAGCGCTATTTAGATTTTCTTAAATCTAATTAACTTTAACTATTATGAGTTATTATCACACACATTTAGTAAAAAAAACATATATCTAAATGTAATTTTCAAAACTTGTGTGTAGTAATTATGCATATATATTATTATATCATATAAAATAATAACCTAATCTCAACGGTTCATGTATTTGTCCACATCTTTTACTACTTTATAGAAAAATGTACTAACTATAAATCTATTTCATGAAAATATTAAAAAAACTGTGAAAATTGATAATGAATATTTTGGATGTTTGGAGGGTATATTTGGAATATATTTAATTTTTTTTAGTTATTAGTTCAGGTTATTTTCCATAAATCCAGGAAAATCTTCTTTTATTGAAGCTAAAATAAAATACTAAACAAATAATTTTTTAAATCATATTTTTTTTCCAAATACGTTTACAAAATCTTAGTACTTACTTTTGCAGTTTATTTATACTAAGTTGTTTTTGAGTTTTAAGCAGATCATTGGAATCAATGATATCATCCTAACAAAACTTATTAATCGGCAATAGTAAATCTTTTAGATTAAAAAACAATAAAAAACATGGATAGTATAGTGTAATTTTTAAAGTAGGTAAAAAGTTTTAAAAAAATAATAATTAGGTAGGTACTAAATTTATTCAAATGTTTCAAAATTTAATAATTTAGACTTTAATAGTTGTATTTTTTTTAATATGCTACGCTTACAGCTCATTAAGTCTTTAGGGTTGTTCTAAATTTACAAATGTTTTTATTTATATTTTTTATATAAATAAATAATGTATTAATTTCTTAATTTATATTATTTACATAAATATTATATATTTAACTTGAATACTTCTTGATATTTCAAAATACTTTAGATTTTTAGTCATAGGTGTTAGGATATAGATCTTAAGAGGCTAAGCACCTCATCAATTTACAAATTAACACCTCCAAATTTAGTTAAATTATATGCATTTAAAATATTTATTTAAAACTAAAAGTGAAAAAATATTTAACTCAAAAAGCCACAAAAACTACTAAAAAATAGCATAAACATATCTACAGCACTAAACACATACTAACACAATTCTAATGTCAATAAATTATCAATTGACAATTTTCTTAAAGCTGAACAATTTTGTTGTATTTTAAAACATTTTAGAGAGTATTTGTTTAGTGCTAATGATGGTAACATTGTTTTTGAAATAAGTATATACTATTTTTTAGTAATTTTTGTGACTTTTTTAATTGAAGAAATTTTAGTTAATACTTTTAATAATATTAATAACAAGTGATCATTTATTTTTATATAATGTATATAAAAATTATTTTTCAGAAGGGAAAAATTTAATGTAACCCTCCTCAAAAATAAACCACTGTACATCATTGTTATTAGTCCATATTTTAAGTTTTTGGTAAAAACTTTCCAGACAAAAAAACCAAACTGATATTTTGTAAGATTTATTTCTTATATGATTTTCTCTTGTCTTTGACGGCCTTTTCGCATTCTGGATTCTAACAAGGTACAAGGAGCTATTTTCCAGTAATTTTTTTTTTATATGCATGTCATCATTGCAGTTTTATATTCATTTTTTATTATATATAAAAACTGACAAAAAAATTTTTCCACTGTACTTATGTTCAAAAAGTACATCCTGACTACCTCTACTTATTACTATCCCTAATCCTTTTATATATTAAACAAAACTCACCAAGACAAATGAACATAATGAGGAAGATTATTGTACAAATAGGGAAAAGCTATTCTATATTCAGTACGAACAGGTTGTCTGATAATAATTTTATTTATATCATTGAACTCATTCCAATCTTCATCGCGTACAAAACTGAAACATAAAAGTTAGTAATATTAATAGACATGTGGATCTTTTGACATTTATTAATTTTTAAAATTTATTAGTAGTCAGTTAGTCTTACGCAGGATTTGAATCTTTTATAAGAGGCTCAAATTTTGGACCACCAGGTATAGCCATATTTAAAGCTTTAGCAGTGAAAAATGATTTTGGATCAAATAAATAAAAATAGTTGTCGTCAACAAGATCAGTTAAAAGTTGATTAGCTAAACGGTATAATGTTGCCATTTGTGGTAAAGTCAAATTCCATTTTCGATAGGTTGAACCATTTACATGCCTAAAATGAATATTTAAAAATATATATATTATTAATTAAAAATCAGAGTTATTACATATTGTTATAAATAATGAAATTTCCTAACTTTACTAGTATAATTAAAACAAAACAATACTTGTATTAAAAAGTGGTTAATTATTAATAGAGTTCAGGACTTTATGCATTTATACAAATTTTTATGATACCTAACTTTATGAAAATTTATCGTAGGTATATAATATATAGTCATATTGTTTAATATTTCTTAATGAGAGAATTAATATAATCAATATGTACATATCAAATGAGGTGTTCATTAATAATGACACTTAAATATTTTAAACTTATTGTTTTATAAGTTTACAATCTTTATGGTTTAATTGCTACATTAATTTAAGTGAACATTTAAACATTTAAGTTTATTAATACTAAATTTATTTCAATTTATACACTTAAATTAATGTAGTAATCTGATAAACCATTAAGTTAGTTAACTTATTTTTATATTCTTTAAACTTAAATAATATTATCATATAATATACAGACATGTATTTAATAATTTTTTTTTTGATTATTCTTGTAATACTTCATATTTTATCTTCTCTTTCAAATATATCATAATTTTAATTTTTAAAATATTAATATGACTTTTTTTTTAAAACTCATCATTCCCTAATACAATCTATTACTTATTGGAGCTGCTAAAAAATATATAAATAATAAAAATATACAATATTACAGGAACTTTTTTCTTTAAGGAAAATGTCATCCCCATGTCCCTAAACTAAAATCCTAATTAATTTACATTGATTACATTATTAAGAAAAACAAAAACGAATATCTATTAAAATGGCTTACTTAGGTAGGTCGGGAACACATTATGCCTCTGTGCATAAATACCAGGGTTTAATTCCAATGTGGTTGGCTATATAGGTTTTTTCAGCTTCTTTAACACAAGCATAGCTTTTCAAAGAGGACGTGAGAGTTAAAATAATAACTTATTATTGATGTATTTAGAAGACTAAAATGAATTTTATAAATGAACCCTAATTATTAACAGTTATATTGTTTTATAATAGACACTCCTATATTATATACATAACTTGTACTAAATTCAAGGGGGACACGATACAAACAGTAGGTTATAAGCAGCACTGGAAAGAATACTTGCCAATAATATGGCAAGTATTATTTTTAATGTGAAACATATGAATTTCATAAGTTAAACATCTTCTTTTTCTCAACACATAAAAAAAAAAAAAATGATGAGTTTTCCATTGGACAAAACAGTTTGCAAATGCAACCCAAGTTTAAGGAATCAAAGTGACAAAAAGTTGATTCCAAGAAATAATTTTAATTAATAATTAATTTTAAAAATTAAATAATGCTACCTCTTCAAAGTTGGTTAAGGAAATAAATGATAAATAACATTTTAATTTAAAAATTTCACTGTGATTGTTAATCTAATCAAAATAACAGTACTTTTACTTTTTAGTTTTGCAATTGTATCAATTTTTCTAAAAAAATTATATTAACCTTTCAACTCTAGGCATCTATGTATTAGTGTTGTTTTTTAAATTACAGTAAAAAGGTCAGATATTCATTTGTTATATAAATTTGATGTATTTAACTGACCTTGTGTTTACAAGAGGTTTATGATCATAGAACCATTTAGCAACAGCAACATCTTCTTCATTATCTAAATCAATTTGGATTGCCTCTAAAGGTTCAACATCTAAAACATTGTCAGCATAATCTAATGGTGGTTCTTCATCATCAAAAGGAGGGAAACGCATTCGCTTGAAATGTCGTCTATCACGTTTTTCTCTTCTCATCATAATCCACATAGTCCTGAGAAATAAATCATTAATTACTTTTTACAAATGAATATAATACACTTTAATAATTTTACTCACCCCCATTGAGCTATATAAACTGGTTCAATTACCCATGGAATTTCATTGACAAATGTTATAGCACCAGTAATATGATACAATACCTTCACATCTCTGATTTGTTCCCATGGCATAGGCATGTTTTCTAACAGTTTTAAAACAGCATGTGGCATATACTTTAAAGCTCTGAAAATTGTTAATTAAATAATAATCAAAAATTAAAACTATTTTTAACAATAAAAATAATTTTCTATAAGAAGCAGAATTATTACAGATTTTTGAAAAATGAATTATTTTCAAAAACAAAAGTTGACCTTTTCATTATAATTTTGGTATCGTTAACTTTACCAGACACTATATTTTCAAACTTTTTTTTTAATTAGGTAGTTTATTTAGTGTAAATTAAGAATATGTAAAAATGTTCAAATGGTAGCAAGTGATTGAAATCTCTCAGCATTTTTAAGTCTTAACCAAATAAAGTACAAATTCAAGTATTTTTTTATGTCAAGACCATTGGGGATTGTTTAACTGTCATTAAAAGTGTACCAGAAATCATGTGAAAAAAAGTCGTTATATGGGACTAAAACCCATGAACTAAGATATAGAGACAAATATTATAATAGACATAATATTGACACTATAGCTCATTTGATTCAGATCCCAATACATTTCCTTACAGGTTAATGTGATGTATGGCTCAGTGAAATACAGCACTGTATTAATGTTATGTCAAAGACACTGTTATTATCTACAGGTGATCGTTTTTTTAACTCGTGATTATAGTAAGTAATACTCTTGAATTGGATATATCTATTTATAGGTACATCTAGTTAAATATGAATTGTATAATCATTTACAATAGTTACAACCATGCTACTTGGACATGTCAACAAAGCACAGTGATAATTTAAATTATAAGGTATTGCAACTAATAACATACCCAAGATAAACTCTTTTATCATGACGATATTTACGACTACTCATATCTCCATGATCCCTTATGATTTTACGTATATGTTCAGGTGGCATGTCTTCTTTCTGTGCATCAACAAAACCAAATTTTCGCTTAGGGGCGAATCTTTTAGACTGAATTTGCTGCCATTTTTGTGCTACAAATAAATTATTATAAAATATATATTTATTTTTAGAACAATTAAATTTTTTATTTGAACAATTATTGATATTGATTATTAATAGCAAAATATTTAAGTTGTGTAGAAAAAGGAATGTTACCCATCAACTTAGTGATAACATTTCAATAGTATTAACCACATAATTAATATTTATTCAAATACTAACTAATAATTCTCTGTTGAATTAAAGATTTCTTATCTTTTTTATTCTATGCACAGATGTAATGGATGAGTGGAATTTAAAAAACATTATTAAATGATATTTCAATCATAAATACAGTTTAAAATTAATAAAATCATTTACATTTTTCTTGTAATTTTTCTTCACTTAATGGTTCAGGAATTCTATTAGGTGGAGCTGATGAAATTTGATGCATTGCCACTTGCTGAGCATGAATTTGAGCATGAACAGCAGCAGCTTGAGCATGAGCAGCTTGTGCTTGAACAGCAGCAATTTGCTGTTGTTGTTGTTGTACTATCATCTGAGCCCATGGGTTCCCACCCAACATAAAAGGTGGAATAGACATTATGATTCACCTAATACAAAATGTCAAATAATATTTATTAGCTACATTACAAGATAATGTTTTTAAACTAAAATACTTACAATTTAAATGATTAATAAAACAATATTACTAATCACATTTTCATGAACACAAGTTAACAGTTATATTTTTCTACAAACTCAAATCTGATACATTAATCTTAACACATAATTCTAAAACATAAAATCAATGTACTGAGAGTTGCTCACTTAAATCGTTCTAAGACGCCGACCATGAAATGAACATGAGTAAAAACGTCGGTAAACGCACAACGCGATTTAGATAACAATGTTGTTTTATTGATATTTAACCATGGTTTAAGAGTTAAAGAAGTCAAGTTCTTAGAATCTCCATGGATAAAAAAAGATTAAGCTAACTTGTGTACAACCTCTTTGAAAGATTATTTTATCACGAAATTTAATTTTAAATATTCTTTTATCACTGCATTTTTTTTTCTAGTTAATAATTGTAAAATATAAACAACATATTCGTACATATTAATGTTACAATGGAATATCAAAATTTTTACCTATCTTTCAAGAGTTTTTTTATTATTTAATTTTATGTCTTAATTATATAAAAAAACACAACTTATTATATTTAGATATTATATTTTTTTAATAATATAGTCATATTTATTTTAAATTATATTTGGTATTAAACAGAGGAATAGGTTTAAATTAGTCATTAAATAAAATTTGAATTAAAGTTATTTTCCTAGTATTCTTTATGTTTAAGAAATACTAATCTAGATTTAAACAAATCTGGTTATTAATTCTTAATCACAAGTTAAATATTATTATTATATTTACTTATTTTATAAATATTAAAATATTATTTATAACATATTTTAGGTTAAGGATTAATTAATACTTCGTTTTATTAACTTTATTATTCACTGGAGTTCAATTAATATTATTATATTATTATTATTATCAACATTTATTCTTAAACCCTATGCTTGATAGAACGGAAAACACCCTACACAACGGAATCGAACTCCAATACACACGCTTTTAGCACATGCATCTCGATTGATTTTATTAAGCATCTTTTTAATTTTAAGTGAAAGGATTCATCTCAAAATAATTTGAATCTAACGTGTAAGAAGTTTTACTAAATATTTTACATTAATTTTACAACTATTTGACGCTGATAATGAAAAAATCATACTTAAAATACATGTATCCGATGATTTTTTCAAGCTATTTATGGTGTTAGGTTAATTTTATTTAAAAGTCATTAATGAAATGAAAAATAATTTAATGATTTTCAAAAAAGGAGGACTCATGACCCCTCTTTCTATACTAGTTACGCCTATTATACATATTTGAACACGTGTAACACATTTCAAATGTTTATTTAGTTAGTGAGCCTACATCTTGTTTAGTGTATAATAGTAAGTTCACATAAAACAATAATTTTTGAATTAAAAATTATAGTGCATTCTATACTAATTTGCTTAAATCTTTAATTACTGTTAATAATTACCAATTTTTAAAAATAGTTTGATCATTTATATTAATATAAATCAATTACAAAGTAATTACTCTGTAGATTTATTGGAAAATATTTAATTTAATTTTAATATAAGTTAGTTAGGAATCAATAAATTGACTTTTAGAATAAATTTGTAATGGAAGACGACCAGTTAAACTCTTTAAGTCTATTAACTTGTGAAAAACAATACAAGTATGTTATACCAGACAAAAGTCTCAAAAAACCAAATAAAACACACGTAAGTAAATAATATTTTCGCAGCAATATTAATAAAAATAAAAATTATTTTGTATAGTAAATAGATAAACAATGAAAAAATTTTCCCTTCTCAGTTGTAGGTTTGTGGCATATTATTTTTGACTTATAAAAGAGAAGCAATAAACGAGTTTTTAATAATGCATAACAATAATTTTTCTAGTTATAATGCTTCAGTTTCACATACGAGATTTTAATATTTATTAAAACAAATTAAAAAAGGTTACGTATTTAAAAATATAATTTAATATGATATGAACGGTCAAAACCTTCAAATTGAATGCTCTAGGACTTTTTTAATTGGTCAAAAGTATAAATAGTGAAAACATACTTGGATATAGCAATAATAATTTTCAACTTGTACAAAAGAATTAAAATTACAAATTCTTTAGGTAACTTGATTATTCAAGAGCGCAATGAAGGGCAATGGCGAATTTTCAACATTTTTCGAATAAAAATATTTTACTTAAATTACGTATCTGTGTCTTTTACTCTTGATATATAAATAATAATATAAAAATATCGGTGTCTAGGGAGTTCAGACCCCCTGGAGGCCCTCTGTAAATCCATTTTTGAAAAGAGTATGCATAAGATAGATCTCCTAAAACAAAAATAATAACAAGGTAAAGATACGATTTTTTTTTCTTTTGAAGGAGTAATGAATAATTTCTTTTAAATATATTCAGCTTGTTCGTGTATCTTGTGTTGATCATAATTCGTAACAATGAAAACAATAACAAAATAAATGCAGATTTTGCATAAAGCAAACGATACAATAATTAATTATTAATGTGCTTAACAAAAAATTGTTTATACTACTTTTGTTTATTATTTGAAGCTAAAATCAAATATTAGGAACGAAATGTAAGATTGTACTTGAATAAAGAAAAGTTGTATAAGATCAGTTAAAATTTATTGGAACAAATAGAACCAAAAATATATTGTTCTCTGTCATAATAAATAAATGTGTTATGAAAACCAAAATGTGTCCTTTGAATTAGAAATGTGCGTATCAACTTTTTTCATTTATATTTTGGTTTTGGCTAAAAAAATATTAATGTTCATATTTTTTAGAAAAAAAGAATAATATTTAATCTTTTCTAGAAACTTCATCGAAAAATACATGGCAATGCCCATGATAATCACTATAATTGAATTAAGAAATGTGTTCTCTAAAATCAGATGTACTTTAGGTCTCAAAAACAATTGATATTTATGTTATCAGCTTTTTATAAATAAAAAAAACTAACAGGTCTAGATTTAAATATTTTCATTTAAGAATAATTTTTGTAGTTCAATAAAGTGGACTCAAATTTAACTTACTATTAAGTAAAAAAAAAAGTTCATAACTAAAGTTATTTATTAATAGTAATTATTTGCATTTTTAAAATTTGTTTGAGCCAATTTAAAGAGTTTAAAATTATAAAACTTTGTTATATGATTACATAGTAGAATAAAAATATTCAAAGTTTTAGGGAAGATAACCCCTCCTCCAATCCTCTTAATACTATAACCTCGATAATTACATATTACTAAGTTCGATAGCATCGGAATAACTTAATAAAATGTATAAATACATGTAATTCCGTGCCCTACTTAAAACTTACTTTTTATCTCAAGATTACATATTTTGTAATAAATAATTGAAATTTTATTTCAAAATTTAAATTTAAGTGTAGGACTATTAAAAAATATTATAAATAAAATAGCATCATTATATTTTGTCCAATTGAAATTCCTTGACAAGTTTCACCGCACAACAAAATATAAAAAACAGTAGCACAGTGGGGTCGAGGCACAGTGTAGACTTGGCATAGTGACAGTGATTAAAATCACTAGCAATTAAATATAGCATGAAATTGATATTTATTAATTTAGTATTGTAATTTTTATGGAGAAATTATAAAACATTATAAAGTAGTTACTTAATTAAAATTAAAACTATATATAAAATATTATTAATTTAAAACTAAAAAAAAAAAACTGTTTGTCACTTATGAATATATTTTTTGGTCTACAAGGAAATGATCAGAGACCGAAAATATACTTTTCTAAACCCATTTTTGCGCCAATTTCAAATCTGCAATTAGATTTTTTCTATCACCACTTTTTTTTTAGATTATTACTCATTAGTGAAAAATGAATATTTACATATAACAAAAATAAGAATTATGATAAGAATGCAAAAAAAATCATTTTGATGTGTGGGGTTCGAACCGCGTACTCCGAGCGTGAGAATATAATCGACGAGGGCATCGTACATTACATAAACGTGTAACTAAAAAAGACAATTTAAGCTATATCAAAAATTCAAAGTCGTTTTTCTTAACTTAGAGGATGTAAAATATTATTAATATTTTAATTTTAAATTTATATTCAATGTAAGTTAAATTCATGTAACTTTTATAAAACTTTTGTAATAACTTCCTAAGTATAGCTCATTAATGTTTTAAATGGGTTTTTTAATCCCAATTTCAGTCAATTTGATAATTCTAAGACTAGATTCGGAATCAACGGTGAAATTCTTTTTAGAATCTACTATAATAATTTTGGCGCTAAAAAGTGTCGTGCAGTGTAATTGATCTGTGACAACTTTCTCCAGCAACCAACTTCTCTTTTTTTTTTATTTGTTTTGAATTTCTCTTTAAAATTAACTTTTTTTGATTAAAAGTTTATGTGCAAAAAGCGCTCCTATAATTTATCTAAGAAACTACATTCAAGGTTCGTTTATGATAAAATGTGTAATTTTTTAGTGAAACAAAATAATTTGTTATCATTTATTATAACTATAATATTATAATGAAATACTACATCAAATTAATGTGCATTTAATTTCGAGCTTGATGAGAACAATTTTTAGTAAAACGATTTTGCTCTTATATAATTTACCCTAATTTTTTATTTTTTTTTTTAAATTATTTAACAAGTGGAAATAATTATCAAATACATTTATATTAGATCGCAAAGAATATTATTGTTGGTAAGTACAATTATAGCCAAATAATTATAATTTGGATAATAGCCACATATCCTAATAGTATATTGTTTTATATTCCTAAGTCCTGGCTCAATGTTTTTTACTACTTATAATAAAACATACAATTATAATAATAATTCTTTAAAGATACATAAAATTCTAAGTTATCTCCGGAACTTAAATAGCTAGAACATATTAGGTTGGCGGTCGTTGACACTATCGGCTCATTAATTTGTATTTTTGACAATATTCTAAAGCCAGTAAAGGCTTTATTTAAATACCAAATAAAAGTTTATAATATTTCCTATTTACTGTTTACGGTCACTGATATACCCTAACAATTTCTCTCAATAAAGGTTACTCAGGGACACTAGAGTACTTTTTGCAGCTAATATCATTGGATAGGAAAATTTATAAGCTTGATGTTAAATTATTTTCTGGACTCGCCTCAAAACATATAGCTATATATTATCTTAGATACTCGCTTACATATATTTATTTTGGACAAAGTTCCGGTCCGAGTTCCATGAATTCTTTTTTATCATTAAAACGCTTATAAGATTTCACATCTTTTAGGATAGGTTTTATAATGCAGACAAAAGTACATAGTACATAACTAGTACATGAAATATCGCGCTGAAATAATAGGCAATTTTACAGTCAGCACTTACTCAGCTAGCTGCGTATTATGTTATACACTCGCTTACATTTATTTTTGACAATGTTCTAGTCCGAGTTCCATGAATTATTTTACATAATTTTATTTAATAACTAACTTAATAGACTAAATTTTTCATATATTACTCTTTATTCTCCTTTAAATAATATTTAAATTGTATTTACGAACCTTATCTAGTTAAATAGGACCACAAGTTGTAAGTTTGTTAATATATTATTTTGTTTTAAGCTCATTGTACTATTAATTCATTGTCATTGTAAATTGTTAGTTTTATTTTTTTGAACATGACTTAAAAAAAAGTCTGAGATATTATTTTTAATATCTTTTTCTTTCCCTTACTCGCTTTTATCCCAATTATTTGAGGTCGGCCACCCTTATCCTAAACTTCTACTTGATACGATCTCCCACATCATCTTCGCACACTTCACCCATTCTCATATCGCAATTAAAAAAATTCCTCAATCTCTTTTTTGGTCTTCTTTTACCTCTTCTTCTCTCAACATTCAATTCCATAACTTTTCTTTTAGCTTCCAATTCCTCTCTTCTTATTATAGAAAATGTAAAATTAATTACAAATATACAAATCATGAAATTTAATAGATCGAAGCGTTTTTTATAATAGTTATATTAATTATTGTTAGGTATCATTTATACTTTTACGTCCCACTTTGCCGCAACCCGTCTTGTATCAATAGACTTACCTGACCATTAAATAGTTAATATCTCAAAAAGAAATATGTCTAACATATAGAGTTTTTTGTTAATATTTTTTAGTCTTTTGCTTCCTGATAATTTTCAAAAAATAAATAGTCGATAATTGCACTTGATCCTCAATTGATAGTTTTATCTTTAAGTCTCTATTATTATTATACTTAGAGCTATGGTGTAATTTTTTATTCTAATATAAAATGGATGAATCAAAATACATTTTTCATAAACACCATAGGTATTACCTTTTCATTAAATATATATTTTTTGAAAATATAATATTTTTTCTGCTCACGGTTGGGTTATGTATTTTTTTAACTAAATATTTTTAATATTTTTTAGTTTATATTAATAGTTTTATTTTTATATTTTAAATTAAATATTACGAATTTAAGTATAAAAAATGCTCTTCTGCTTACAATATAAGGCATAGTGTTTTTAAGTCATATCAATATGCGCAAGAAATAAGGCAGAAACTCACTTTTTCTCACTTTTCAGAATATTGAAAATAAAAATTACTCTCTGATTACACGCTATATGTTTATCAATTTTCTTAGTAGTTTAATTCCAATTCAATCCAAATTTTCGATATTTCGATGAAAGTTATTATAAGAGTAAAACTTAAATTCAAATACCTTATAATCTCAAAATGGATTTTTTTGAGATACTGACTTATTCGTTGCGCATAACGATATTATATTTATAATATTTTGATAGATATAATTGTTACTGAAGAATACAGACGCATCTTCTTTCTCTTTTTGGAATAATCTGGGACATATTATTACTCATCAAGGACAAATTAAACAAATAAAAATTCACCAAATTATTATGGTCACATACCATGAAAAAATCTATCTACTGCACACTCAAAATAAGAAAATTGTATGTATTGAGTATTTTATTTTATTTTTTAACTGTTTTCCATAGAATATTACTACATTAGTAAATAAATTGTATTCTATTGAATGTAGAGCTAGGTCTCTGGCTTCGTACTTGTGATCAAATGACTCGGATAGTATCACTTTTTTTTACAGGAACTTTGCAATTCTTAAGAACGGACCTGATAGTAGTGATAGATAGTGTATATAAATAAATCCTACTATTTTATAGGATACCATATTTACGTTGGTATATTTCTTAATTTAATATTAAGATGTATTTTTTAATAATAACTTCATATGAATGTGTTAGAACTTTCATGGATATATCCTCAAGCACTTCAAGCAATAACTTCATATTTTTAGTAAAATTTAAAAATCCCTAAAAACTAAATCTATAAATCCATAAATAATTATTATTTATACATGACAGATCGGCTTATATTTATAGTAACAGAGTTATAAATATTATTATAGATAATCAAAAATAGATAAATTTTTACGAAAATGTTATTAATAAAAGAAGTAATAAAATTACAATTGTACTGTAATTTGTTCAAGCTATTTCGCTGAAATTTTATCAGCACTTTTTTAAACTTTGTTATAAGGGACGCCTCCACTATGTGCGTGATAGACTGTATTTTATTGCATTTTCAAAGTGGGGAGACTTCCATGTTTCATTTATGAAGTAGATAGTTGCAATTTTCTTGCCCTGTTCTGGTGTGATTGTGTGTTGTCTATTGGCCCTTTAATAATACTAGCCGGAAACTTTTATGAGCGGTCCTTTAAATAGGTCTTTAAACTCAGTTACAAGTTTCTATTAAGTTTCATCGTTTCTTCCATAGGCACACTATAGTCTCATTTTTTACTTGTGTACCACATATGAAATTTCTACACTTTAAACGTAATGGTTGGTGAACAAGTATGTCTATTTTAAATGGTAAATTAGATAGATTGTTAATTTTTTCAAGCATTTTTGTAGTGTGGGCTAGTTTTCTTAGATCGGGAGAGATTATATTAGATAGAATAGATAACCATTTATTTGAATTGGGTATCCAAATTATTGTGTGTCCTCAGTCTATTTTTAACGCCACTCTGGTTTTACGTTAGGGTTCTACCAAATACCCCCTAGATATTTAGGAGATTTTTTGGAAGCGATATTTTGTTCAACGATTTCTGCGTGTAGTTCTCTGTTTGCTTTTTCATTGTTGAAATAAAAGGGATGATTGGTATCAATGATAATTACCACTTCTTGAGATGTTTTTATACTTTTTTAAGATCGCCATTTAACGTATGCATTATTGTTGCGATTGTCTTGGTTTATGCTACTAGAATCACATCATCCGCATAAATGATTTTTTTTAACTGAAATTTGTTAATTTCAAATTAAACAAAATGTTCATACAATAATAGAAAATGCTGATTTAACGATATAAAAACAAACTACAAAAAAGTTAATCCGACAGTAGAGTTGGTTGGGTTGGGTTGGATTAGCAAACCATCAGGTCCCAACCACGAGCATGTAATTATCCCTCTGAAGATGTGCTCTGCAATGAGTCCAAATCGTCAGCTCATAACTGAAAACATGGATATATTCGTAAAAATTTCAAGCAAAAATACAATCTTAAGTTAACTATTTGAATACAATAAATGTTTGCGCTTTTTACCCAAAATACTAATAAAAATATTGTTAATTATTTACCCAATAATATTCTTGTGTATATTAGAAATGAATGTAAATTTTATATACTTAATTATTATAATTCCAATAGTTTTAATTATAAATTAATTTATAAATAATTTAGATGATCTAAATTTTTATTGTGAATGGAGGATATTGAAAACATCATTGGCGTTTTGAAACATAAATTTTAAAGATTAACACTTATCAGATATTTTTCTAAAACGTACATATTGAATCTAAGATATGTTCAAATCCATTTTATTCAAAATTTTATTTATGTTATAGCCATTATTTTAAAATTCGAATTTTTCAGGTAAATTATACAATATTTTTAATTCTATCATTTCTATCTAGTTATTCAGTCATTATTTAAGTATTTACTTCAAATTTTTTTTTTCGTATTCTGAACTTATTATGGAGTTTATTAACATGGTCTTTTAAAAAATCATTTTCTTGTTTTAAAAAATGTCTTATTCGTTTCATTCTGAGAGGCTTTTATTTCATTATTTGATTCAATCAAAGTATCCAATTTCGTTTTCATAATTACTGAATAATAAGGTCTAAATTGTTTTAATAATTTATAAAATGTTAACTGGGCCCAATAACCACAGAAAACCCCATGTTCCGTGCAATTACGATATCTTAGTATTAATATCCTGTTAATCAGCTGGAATTTCATAATAAAGTTTACTGTAAAATACATATGATTTTACGTTAAAACCACGAATTAAGAAAAATTGAACTAGACGTCGTGTCGTCGGGAACAGGGAGTGCGATCCGGTTTTGTTATAGAAATTCCATAAGAAGGGGAATATTCGGTGATCAATGAGCTCTATAGATGAACGTGTTTTCAGAATACGAAATTTAAAAACACAGTGAGGCAATACCTGTAAAATAGTAGAGGCGCCATTTCTTCAAAATTCCCCCTTCTACGGAAAATGTATAAAAACCGGATTACCTGATGATGTCTAGTCTATTTCTCTTCGTGGTTAAAGCAACGAAATTTTATAATTAATACAATAGTTATGATATCACTACTTTTAAAAACACTTTTATTTGTTGTTAATTACTCAGGAAGTGATTTAAATAATACTTATGAAAATTCAATAATATATTATAATATTAATATATTATTCAATAAATAAAAATAATAAATATTGTACAGTAATCACGTCTTGTGATATATACTCATAAATTTGATATTCGCGTTTTTAGGTTTTATACGAGTGGTTTCGATAAAAATGTTTAATTTTAATCGTATCAAATACATTATGATTGTGCTTACGTAAACCATATCTATTCCATATTTTTCATTTAAGGACCACTGAATAATGTTTGTAATGTTTCTATTTTTATTAATTAACGTTTATCATTTCAATAGTTAAACATTGTTTAGTATTGTCATTGTATGAATAACAATTGCGTGAATTCCAGCCGAAGAGCGCCTAATTTGTATTTGATTTCAAATGATTTCGATTTGACCTTGGTGTGATCTTTGGTACGATACATGTAGTTATAAAGATACCTGCAGAGTGCAGTGAGTATTATTGCTTGAACATTCAGATCCACATTTCTGTAGCCACTAGTTCGGTGAATGCGCAATTGCTGTCAGCATTGATAGAGCGCACAACGCGTTTTCTCTTCTACAATTGTAATCTAGTGTTCGTAAATAATATTGTTATATATTTTATGCATCCAATATTTTTAGTTTTCTTTTTACAATGTACAATTTAATTACAGATCATAGTATAGGTCCACATTATTTTTTTAAATTCTAATGAGATGTCTATTTTTTTTTTACTGTGCAATTGTGTTTAAAGACAAATTTTGTATTTCTATTTAATATATTATCATGGTGAGTTAACCAGTTAAAATTACTTTAATTTGGGATAAAATGTTATTTGTGGGCAATTGTGCTTTTGAATTTAACTATTGTTCAGCAAAATTTTTTCTATTATTAGTTAGATTAAATGGCACCTTGATTAGTTTATAACTACAGTTTTTGATTTATAACATTTTAAATAAGTTGAAAAATTTATAAAGGTAAACTATTTATTTAATCATAATTTAATAATATAAAAATCGCAAATGCTTCATTGATAATTGTTAATAATAATTTTGGATTTAAATCATAAATCCATTGGAGATTTGATTTAATAATTAAAAAAATTATCAACAATGGTCACAAAAATAAATTAGATCATATGTTTTTTTTTTATAATAACAAAAAAAAAAAATTAGAAATATTGTTTTAATTTTTGTTTTTTCACAATAATTTAAAATTTGTTAAAAAATTTTTTTGTGAGTTATTCCGAAGAAAATAAAGTTTTAATTTAAATATAATAATATCTACTAGAGAAAATATGGTAAATTTCAATAAATAATATAAGAAATACATAGGCGTAGATTTAGAAAAATTGACAAATAATGGACCGTGATGGTTTGTTTTTATCAGACTTTCTTTTCGAAGTATATTTGCATTTAAAATTTTCATCCTCAACCTATTAAATCAAATTTAGGCCAACATTACTTTTGAGTAATTTGACATGTTTACTGACGTTAATTAGTCTTAATAAATGCATAGTAAATTATGTCCATTATCATAAATTTCATAGTTATTTTAATCATTCAGTCTTAAATTTTGAAAATTGTTACTTATTAAAAAAAGACGATTTTTTTAATTTCTGTCGATTTTATTTAGTATTGTAGGATAAAAACAATTATGTTTGTAAGTTTTATCCTATTATTACAAAACATTTTCCTTAAAAACAATTTAATTTTATTGAACAACTGTTTTTAGCTTCGATGCGTTTAATACTTAGAATTTAATATCACATAGAAATATAAAATAACTAGTTGATTGATTGTGTTTATTGAAGCTATTGCTTAATATTATATTAAAAAATAATTCAAAATGAAACATTTATTAATATTTTCTAGTCATAATCATTCATTTTTAATTTTTTACTGAACTAAATTGTAATTTTTATTTTAATTTACTGAGATTGTGCAAAAACATAATAAATAAAATTAAATAACAGTTAATGGTTAATAGATCATTTTTAAAAATAAATTATATAAAATTGATTGAGTATCGACCTATTACTTTAATAAGTAATTAAGTACTTAAATAGCACTAAATATTACATATAATATGACTAATTCTTTTTGCTCAACTACTTTATTAATAAAAGCTCTAAAAAGTAATGGTTAAGTTTTTTCTAAATTGCTCTTCTAGTATTCCATTAATATTTTTTTAAGAATAATTACACGATTCATAACTAATCAAAAATGATGGCGTATAAAAATGTAATCCTGATTTTTTTTATTGAATTACATTAAATCGTCTTTATTTTTGAAAAAATCTAAACAATTAACTGATAAATACTAAAAAAAATTTATTTCCATTTACGAATTGTTTTTTTAATTTTCGTTAGAAGACTTATTTTTTCAATTGACAGATTGTTAACAACGCAAAGATACAACTAGAATAAATTGAGAACTATTTTTAAATTTTACTCACCCTAAAAATAGTTTCATTTTACAACATTTTTAAATTTCTAAATTTTTGAATGTGCTAATTTTTTAAGGCTTTCCTATTTCCTTATTAGAAAATAAGAGGACAAATTCCTCTGTAAATGTATAATATGTATACATTTATTAATTATTAAATATTTGTAAAGAGACAATTTCTAGGATTTTTTTTAATTCATATTAAATTTTAATCGTCAAATTACTTAGAGTCCTCACAAAAAAAATGACTTTAAGGTATAATTATCAAAGATAACATAGTAGAAATGAATATAAAGGTAAACAATATTTATCAATATCATTTTTATATGTTACTTTCAAGTTTTACATAGTTAGATAAATAACCACTTATATACTAATCAACATTACCAAATCGAAGGAGTTTAATTCTATCTATAATTTGAGTTCTTTATAAATTTATAACAAGTGTGATAAAATTAAAAGATTAAAGTACTGTTCTGCTAATAGTACTCAAAATTTAATATTTGAAATCCAATTTAAGCTCAATAATGCTTTAGATTAGTTAACGATTCTCTAATAGGAAAAATATTTAAAACAACTGATATTATTTTTAATTGTAAATTAATTAAAATAACAGACATGCTTAGAAAAAAAGCTGAAATCAGACTTTCTGGATTCCGTTTCAGTAATGTTCAAATTTAGAAATTTGTTTTGTGGGAAGTCCGTAAAACTTAACATAATTTAATTTCAATGGGTTCATGCCTTGTATTTCTCTCAAAACTATGCATCTTAAGTACTTTATTTAATACAAAAGAGATTATACTAAATAATATTTTAAGAATAAAAATATTATAAGTAAATATTAGTAATAATATATTGCCACTACTAATTCTGCAATTTTCTCACGAAGCCATTCAATAGATTTATAAACAATAAAAAAATCGACATCCCTCATATTTTTAATAATTAAAATTCAATAAATCACTATATAGCTTTAATTTTAATGGTTGCGTTTTCAATTTATTTTTATTACATTTCCATTATAGGCATGCTTTGGTTATACAGCATTTGTCACCATATTAAATCAACATTTAAACATAATTTTTTCGTATATTTTAGACCGTTTAATCTAAATTATTATTACATTGAAACAATTATTTTGTAACAAACACCGAGCTCTTTGAAAGGCCTCAACACATCCACCAGAGATTGACTGGTCAGTCATAGAAAATATACCGGAAACAATGTGAATAAAAAGGCATGATACGGGTTAGAACCCGCGACCCAAGGCGTCTTAAAGACAAACCATATCATCAGGCCACTGTACTCTTATGATTTAGATCCCGGTATACTTTCATATAGATTGATAACGAGATACATTTAAGAGAAACACGGTACCGTGTCAACTAAAAAAATCATAAGATCAAAATTGTTTTTAATTTTCTTTTCTATCATATAATCAATTTTAAAATAGGAATTCCCATGAAAAAATTTAATTCAAGGTTTTTAATTTTGTAGGATGAAAAAAATAAAAATTAACCACTTACAAATTATTTTTAGTTTTTTTAACCTAATATTTTTTTTGGTTATACAAATAAAAATTCTAAATAGTTTCTAAGGAAATAAGTGTATTACTAAATTTGGATCACTTAATTTCAGTTAGAAGAATTAACTGACATAATTGAACTAACTAAAAATGTAAATATGGAATAATCCCAACTAGATTTATAATTTGGCCAATTATATAAGTCATTTCTTCTAACTATATATTTATTTTGTAGTTATATTAACATATTAACTGTAAAATAGTTTTTTCCATAAATGAAAAAAAAACATAATCTTAAATTATCTGTAAATTGCTGACTGGGACTAAAATAAAAATTTCACTTTTCTATATCCTAAAAATTAATTCAAAATAATGCTTTATGATTTTAACATAATGTTATAGATGTTGCTTTTCAGGGCATCTTTTAAATACAGTTTCTGTGTCCAAATAGACACCCATTTAAGAAATAATTCTCCCACTGGATATCTTATATTCAGACGATTCCAAAAGATAAAAATTGTTATAGATAAGAACAACATTACCTACATTTTAATTATTTATTGCAGATAATTATTATAAATAATTATCTTTTTTTTGTGCAAGAAATCATTGTAATACTATAACGGTGACAGTATCACCGGATATTTTTGTCAATCTAATTATGGTTACTTAATTAAATTATGTATTATCATAATCTAGTATGATAACCTAAAGATTCGTATTTTGATTTCAAAAAATGTAAATGAATGTGTACAAAATACATTCGTTTGCATTTTTTATTTTGCTATATAACAGAATTGTATTGTTCCATAATATTTAGCGGTTTTTTCTTTGCTATTAAATAAAATAAAGTTTATTTAATTAAGTAGTATACATGTTGTAAAAAAGGGATTGTAATATAAGTATATAATAAAAAAAATATAATTTAATAAATATATCTTTAATAAAAGGTGTATACCTACTAAATTCCTTGTTACCTTTTCTATATTTTTCGATAAAAATTAAAAAATACCGGTTGGGTCTGACCTTTGGCTCGTTCATAAGTTGAGTTCACACTGCATGAAAACAAAACTGTTAACCAATGGTTATAACATGATAGTATAGTTAAATAAATTAAACTGTTTTTATTGTTACAAATAATTTTGGTACTTCGCAATGATCGAAAGTACACTGTAACATTACACTTTTAATAGGTCATGTGAATATTTATTTGCAGATGTATAAAACCAGTTTCGCAATAACTAACATACCTTTTGTTAATATTGTATAAAAATTTATACATTAATGAGTAATGCCGCTGAGATTTTTCATTGAAAAAAAATTTTTGAAAGTCGGTGCTCATTAGTAATTTGTTTAGCATTGGCAAATTTTTTAATGTTCTAATATACAATAACATTTTTTGAAAAAATGTTTTTCGTTATATTTCTTATTTTTTAACACGCAAAAATATAACATAAATATTAACTTTTGCCTGTAATTGGTTTTTAAATTGGTAGTATATAAGTTATAAGTCCTTTGCACAGAAATTTCAATCGCTTCTCTTTATTTATGAATTTAAATACAACAGTACAGATAAATTTATTTTAATTTAACAATTTTTAATGAGTTTAATTTATTATTCTTAATTTTAGGCATATCCAAAATCAGTATGGTTTATAATTTGTAATGAGTTTTGTGAGCGATTTTCTTATTATGGATTACGAAGTAAGTAGCTTTTTATCATTTCATAAATATAAATTATATAATATCAAGTATCTTATATAATATTATTATTTTGCTTTAAAATTAATGATAATATAATTATTTTATATTTAAAGCTGTTTTGGTTTTATATCTCACATCAATCCTACGCTATAGTGATGATGAATCTACGATCATTTATCACATGACTGTATTTTTAGCATATTTTTCTCCATTATTCGGAGCCATATTATCGGATTCTTTTCTTGGGAAATTCAAGTACGTAAAATATATTACTGATTGTATTTAAAGAATATTATAGCCAATGACAAAATTAGGATGTATTAAGGGAGCCCCCACTCCCTTAATACATCCTAATATTGTGGCCAAATGTTTTAGGTGATACCGTAAATAAATACATTTTCATATTTTTGCTAAATTATTTATTTAGTATTATGTAAATCATAAGCGCAGGGAAGTCAAAATTAAATTTTTTCCCTTCCAAAAAATAATTTTGCTAATTTTCTAGAAGACAAGAATCCCTAGACATCATGATACGTTTATGATAGTTTTAAAATAAATAAAAATTTTCATTTTAAACGGAATAAAATCCTGGAGTACAATAGCCTCAAGGACTTAAGGCTTCAACTTTATTGAAGCCTGAATAATCGTATCCGTATGATAATAGTTTTTAAATTTTTTTTAAAGACAGATACTAAACAACCTCTTTTATAAACTACTGAGAAAGAATAGGATATTTGTGAAATATGTGGGTTTTACTTTACAGGTATTACAAGTATTACAGGTATTACTTTCGATTGATTTATAATAATATTTTTTTGATTACAAAAAATGTATTTTTATTCGAAATTTCTAAAATTAAAATTAAATTATATATATTATATTAAATTATTTAATAAAATAAAAATGTCGTCTATTAAAAATACGTGTGATTTTTTCTGAACACCCCTAAACTTAAAACAGCTGTAATTCATTAAAAATGTGGACTTATGGGAATTTTTTATTAAAAAAGAAAAAAAAATGGCTATTTTAAAACTTTGAAAAAAAAATTTATTTTTATTTGATTTCTGATTAAAGAGAAACAATCAAATACATGATTTTAACGTGATGCAATACTGTAAAAATTAAAAAAAAAATTATTTATTAATCATTTTTTAAGGAGCCCTTAACATATTTTTAAATGAAATGATTTATTATGAGTTAATTATCAAAAATATGTATAATTTAAAAGTAAAAAAGTAAATTTTATGTGTTTTGTGTAAAATGTAACTATATATGAAATGTAACTCCTAATTTTAACTTTAAAATATAATTTATCCTAAAAACAATTTGGAGAAAGCGTATGATACAGTACCGATAGAAGTTTAAAATGGGCATTAAAAAGAAAAGGAGTCCCGAAAAGGTACATAAATATAATAGAAGATATGTATGATGGCACTTGCATCAGGGTAAAAAGTGTAGGTGGAGTAACAGAAGGTTTTAGGGTAAGACTAGGAGTGCACCAAGGTTCTGCTTTAAGCCCTTACTTATTTTCTATAGTGATGGATAAAATTACTAGAGAAATACAAGGAGAGGTGTCGTGGTGCATGTTGTTTGCTGACGATATAGTATTACTAGGAGAAAATAGGGAGGAAATTAATCAAAAGCTAGAGGTTGGAGATTAGCTCTTGAAGAAAAGGGTTTAAGAATAAGTAAAAATAAGACAGAATATATAGAGTTTGATAAAGAGGAACACGAGGTAGGTAAAATGAGAAGTTCAATGATAATAGGTGAGGACGTGATAGGAGAGATGGAAAGTTTTGAGTATTTAGGATTAGTTTTGCAAAAGAGCGATGATATTGACGAGGATGTAAGATACAGGATTAAGTGCGGGTGGTTATATTGGAGAGAAGCGTCTGGTGTGTTAAACAATAAAAGAATTTCAATGAAGCTGAAATGTTAATTATATAAGACTGTAATGAGACCTATGACTATGATGTATGGTTCAGAGTGTTGGACAGTTGACAAGAAAGTAGAATAGAAAATAAGTGTAGCAGAGATGAGAATGTTTGGATGGATGAGTGAAGTGACTAGATAAGATAGGATAAAGGACGAATAAATAAGAGGTAGTATAGGTAAAACATCAATCGTAAATAAGATGAGAGAAAATAGACTTAGATGGTTTGGTCATGTTATGAGGAGAGAGGAATCGGAAAGCGGTAAGAACAGTTATAGAAATGAATGTTGAAGGAAGAAGAGGTAGAGGAAGACCAAAAAAGAGATGTAATAACATTACATGAATATAATTGAATGCGATATGAGGACGGCTAATGTGAACCTAGATGATGTGAGTAATCATGTTAATTGAAATTTTAGGATAAGGGTGACTGACTACAAGTAGTTGGTATTTAGGCGAGGAAAAAGAAGAATATAATTTACCCTATTTCCAGACAAATCGACACAAAATTAATTTTTAAAGTTATTAAAGTTATAAATTAATTATTTAAGTTATTGACTAAATAATCTAAATAATTTAAACAATATAATTTTACACATTAAAGTCTATGTATTTATGAAGCTATAGACAAGGTTTTTTTCTGAAATATTATTTATAGAAGAGTAAAAAAAATGAAAGTGAAAAAAGTGTGTCACCTCGCTCCTATCTCCCCTACAAATTATCAAATGAGCAATTGTACTGTCACAACTAAGAAACAAATAAATTGACATTATAATTTAAAATATGATTATGCCTAAAAAAACTCAACCAATTTCTACATCAAAGTTAAAATTTAAATATATATTTTTCTTATAGTCTATTAAACTTATAATTATTTCAATAATTTTATTATAATTTTTATTTTATAGAACAATAATGTATTTGTCTATAGTCTATGCATCAGGAAATATGATTGTTACTGGATCTTCATTAGCAAGTTCATTTAGTCTATATAACCAAAGGTATCTATTGCAAAATATTTCAATTTTTATCAATAATTGAGATGATCACATCAACAGAAAAGTTACTAAGTAACAAACACTAAAATTTTTCACGGGAAAGAAAAATCCTTAAATGTTTTTTTGTTTTACATGTTTTTCTATTCTATACAAAAATTCCATTAAATGTTTTTAAGTTTATAAAATATTTTTGGGAGACTTAGTATCTTTTCTATAACAATGCACTGATTAAAGAGCTCAAAAATAATTTCAAAATTTCACCTAAGATTTGAATAAGTAATTTATTTTTAAAATAAAAATTAAATTTAAAATTAAAAAAATACATTTGCAATTAAAATATGCTTTATTTGCACGTTGACATAGACATTTTACAGGTTAGGGTATGGAACATAGAATCTTTCCGTGATGAAAATAAATGTATGGTAAAACTGTATTTTTTAGGGGATAGTAAAGTTTTTTTTGTATATATTTCCTTTTTAAGGTGAAACATTGTAAACGTCACTGTACGATGATTATCAGTATTTAAACGTAATTATAAATAAAATTACAATAGATATTATAAAATAGGGCTACTTTACATTTTAAATAAAACATTGCACTAAAAATAAATTGTCACGTTTTAAAATCTTAACTTTTTTTTAAATAGCAATATATACGTATATTATATTAACTCGTAATATAGAGAAAGATGTAATTAAGTGAATATATAATTATAACATGTGTATAACTTCTACAATGAAACAATTAATATAAAATGTTAATAACAACTTATGTTCCAGTAGTTCAGAAGTTATTAACAAATTAAAGTAATGACTGAAGGTCAGACGCGGGTATTATTATTTTTAATACTATTCATCTCTCAGCCTTTCTACCGCCTTTGTATAAAAAAAATGTTAAAGACTTATTATTGACATCTTACAAAAGTAGTTTGTTTTGTAAACAATATTTTGAATTTTAAACACTGTATTTAAATAACATAAAATTGAACTAAGATTTTTGTCTGCATTTTTTTAGAAATCTTGCATTGCTAGGCTTAATTTTAATAGCTATTGGAACTGGTGGTATTAAACCTTGTGTGTCATCATTTGGAGGTGACCAATTTATTCTTCCAGCTCAAGAAGCTTATCTTCAAAAATTTTTTTCGATATTTTACTTCTCCATCAACGCTGGTTCTCTAATCTCAACATTTTTGACTCCAGAACTCCGAAAAGACATACAATGTTTTGGAAAAGATTCTTGTTTCCCCTTAGCATTTGGTGTACCAGCAGTATTAATGATAATATCAATAAGTAATTATAAAAATTATAAAGCAGTATTAAAAATATTAGTGTAATTGAAGAGCTCGGAACAATAACAAAAAAGCAAATTCATATTTTTAAAAAATAATTTTTTAAGAATTTTATTTATTACTTTTCTGTGTATAACAATACAAAAACGGATTATATACTTGGATTATTTGCAAAAATATTCAATATAGAAAACCTTTCTATCATTTCTATTAATGTAAATTTGTTTAGTAAATTGTAAGACTCTTTTAAAAAAGTTCTAAATATGAACCTGGTTGTTGCATTGAGCTCTTCAATTGTTAAATTAAAACATCACAAAAATTATCATTGGTGTTACACTTGAAAATGTTGTATTAAACAATTTTATGAACGATTATAATGGTATTATTCAAGAAAATCTGTTTATCATAAAGTACTAAGTTACTAGCAAAATAAATACAATTTTTTTTTAGTTACATATATTTTTTTATTGATCAGTTACTAATTACTTTTTTATTTAAGCATTATTTTTTATAACTAATATGGGTAAGAACTTAATTTTTTTAACTGGCAATGCACATATTTGGCTAGTTTATAATACACAAAATAATTTAATTAAGAAAATGACAAATCGATAACAACTTTTGGACCTGTATTGTAGAAATTATAGCTATTTTAAAATATAGACTTGGAAGAGACACGGTAATAACTACTTATATCATCAAGCTTTTCTCTGTCACACTTATCCTTTCATTAACATTTATAAATGTTAATAATTTTCGAATTAGGCGCTCCAAAATTATTATCGACCCGTTATTTTCTATTTTATAAACTAGTCAAATATGTATGTTATTATTTAGTTTCATCCTTATAAGTTGTAAGGGATGATGCTAAAAAAATGTTTAGCTGATAAATTATAAAATATGTATAAACCTAAATAAAAATTAAGTGGTTTATGATAAACAGATCTGTCTGTATAATATTACTATCAAATGGTATAGACGACGTTAGAAAGACATGTTTGTGGTACCAATTTGAATTTTTTTCTTTTAAAAATATATCAAAATATACTGAATTTTTGGCGGAACTAATTTAATTTTTGAGTAGAGGTTTAGCCACCCAAGCTCAAAACCCCATCTTAAATTATCATTGTGTTATATAATAAAATAAAATATTTATTGAGCTTATTTAAAATTTTTTTGTAGTATAAGTTAATCTTATTATAATTGATAACTGTAGTCCATAGAGTAAAAATTATACTTCCCTAATTGAGGTATATCAAAATCAGCTATTATCAGTTTTTAAAAAAATATTCAAGAACGAAAAACTAAAATAAGGTTGAAATTTCACCCTATGATATTGTAATAAATATGAAATGAAATCTTTAGAATATATAAATGTTGTTTTTATATAATTATATTATGTAAACATTTTTTAAAAAGATTGAGGGTGTCGAGGTTTATTTATAGTAAATAAATAATACTGGGTAATGAACTATTTAATTAGATAATACTAAAGAATGTAGCTACTTAAAATATTTATATTGACAAGAAAAGTCGCATAAGTATATCCACAGTTTGGATTCCGTAAAGATGTGTTCAGACCGTCGTCTTTTGCTGGACCGTTTCGCGTTACCTGAAGTGACTAGGGGTCGTGCGATCTATTGAATAAGAAGAGGTGTCGCAGTCGGTATCCAACAGTAAAGCCGGAAATGCGATGCGACCGCATGAAAATATTTAATGAAGCTATTTTTAATGCCAATTTAGTTATATGGATTATTTTGAAATTGAAATTTATTAATTTTTAGTTTTGATGCTAAGCTCAGAAGATATTAATTTTACAATTATGTATTTATTTGTATGTTTTGTATGAAGAGCATTATCGCAACTGTTCTGACAATATCAATACTGGAGACTGCAACTTTTCGAATCTGTATAAATATTCAGCTTTCTTTTTCTTCCTTCTTTGATTTGTTCGTATATAAATCTCCTTTCTTTGACCGCCAGATCTGCTATTTGTAACTCCGCTATTATCAGCGCCGCTTCATTTGAAACCGTTCTATATGCAGACCTAATCTTTAGTGTCATGGTTCTTTTGCACTTTTCTAGAACTGCGTATTCCCTTTTACACATACGATGTAACCATATAGATTTTCCATATAGGATAATCGACCTTGCTATCGTTGCCAACATTTTTCACATTAGTTTAGATAATGTCTTAATAGTAGCACCTAGCCTTATCGCTATTTCCATTGCGTGTTCTTTGAAGTTGAGTTTGCTGTTGATCTTCAGGCTTTGATATTTCAAACTACTAACAGACTCTATCTCCGTTCTTGCCATCTCTACCTTAACGTTATTTTTACTTGGTTATGTGTTCTCCTGTTGGTTATAATTAATATCTATAATTTATGAACAGCGAGTTCTAGTTCGGTTTTTCCGAGCCATTTACATATTAATGCAGTCGTTACCTTTATTTTGTCCTTAATTTCGCATGCATATTTGGCCTTTCAAATTGCTGCAACATCACCTGCAAACGCCAGCAGTTCATCGTTCAATGACATGTTGACTTGTAAAAACCCATTAAGTCCACATTGTTAAGCTCAGTATAGAACCATGTGGCACTCCACTGCTAACTTCTGCTTCCACTTGCATTGTACTATATTCTGTTATCTGCAAAATAGCTATTGAGTATTCTTTGGTGTGTGTGCTTATGACTGCTTCGAAGATTATGTCCAAATTTGGCGAGTAAACGCGTTCTATATATCTTGTGTAAATTTTCCTATCATTAATTTTTTTGACTATTCATTTATCTCTTAGTGAAATTTTCTTTTTTCCATGCCTCTGGGAAGATTCCTTCGTTGATGCATTTATTATATATTCTTAAGAAAAATCCAGTACTTTGTCTATAAATATTTAATTTGTAATACGGTATGGACCTGGTGCTTTGTTATTTTTAACTGTACTCCTGCTCTTAATAATTCTTCATTTGTTATTTTGTCATTCCCTGACAAGTTTTTCATTCTTCGTTCGTATTTGGGAAAAAGACCATTTAAAATTTTTTCTACCCTCCCTATAGTACACTGAGTCTTAGGAAAGGTGAAGATTTGACCGTTTCCTATAATTATGGCTTCCTATAATTGTTTTTTATTGATCTTCCGTGTATTTCATTTTTTCAAGTTGACGTTGTGTTTCAATCGTAAATTCTATGTATTTATGATCGCTATGAGATTCTTTTTTGATAACTTTCCAGGTGATTATCTTCGACACTAAGTTGGCAGAGGCTATAGTCACACCAATAAAAGATTTTGAATAGCTTCATTGACACGTATGTTTGTAACTTTCTTTACATATTATAAGGCTAAGAGAGTGCATAAGCTCCGATAGGTCCTTTCCCTTGGCTTTGTTAATGGGAAAACCCCAATTATTGTGTTTGACATTAAAATCCTCTACTATTACCACTTTGCAATTAGATGTTCTAATATTCATCTACATTATCCTTAGGAAATCATTGTACTTCTTTATTGTTATGAATGTGATAAAGCTTTCTTGGATTGTCTTGTTGCTTGAGGATGTATCTTTATTGTTGTGTTGAGATTTTAGTAGCATGAATAAATCTTAGTATTTGTAATCATTACCTATCAAAACCAATTTTTCAGCCTCTCCTATCTTCTCAATTGATACTATGGTGATGTCAACGATTTCCGTTCTGTGACTTGTAATAAACCAAAAAGAAAAGAAAAGAAAAAGCGGAAATTTAAATTAGATGATGAAAATATAAGATGGTAAAGAAAAAAGGGGTTTGTTTGTTATGGGGAGTAAATGTTATGATATAACCAATAATAATATGTAGGTTTAAGGGAAATTAATAATGGAGGGTAAAAATGGTGGTAATGTGGATTTTACTATTGAAGGTGTGAATGCTTATATTATACCAAAAGAAAATCTGAGGGTTGATTCTTAGTCAGACTAAAGATATAATATAGCGTATGTATGGACGAATAATAATGAAAATTATTAAATACAATAATAAATGGCGGAGTAACACATGTTTAAATGTGGTAAGATATGTAAGGGTGCAAAGGATATAATGATACGAATAAAGAAGAATTCAGAGGGGTGAATAAACGGAGTTTAAATACATGAGTGTAATGATCAAATAAATAAAAATGTACACAAACGTTGTGACAAAAATAATGAACTGATCTCGGGGTTGAACAATATTGAATAAATGAAGTCAATTATCCTACAAAACTTTACTACCTATCTTAATGGTTTATTACGCAATAGAGTATTTATAATTTGAAAGCGGGAATTTAAATTTGTACTTACCTCGTATCCCACGTAATGTAATGCTTATTTTAGACAATCCAATGTTGATTATGAGTTCACACTGTATTTCACACGTTTTACACTTTGAGTTCGACAGTAAATATGACCGTTTGAGAATAAAGCATTTAATTATAAATAATGCGAAACCGTTACACAAAATCTATGACTGTATTATTATATGCAAGAGATTCTATACACTCTATATTTTTATAATTATAATCAAATAATGTATCTTTAGTTGACTTTGTAGAATGAGTATATTGTTTGAGAGATTATATTTTATTGAGAGATCGACACCAATATT